CAGCAGCAGCATATGAGATGGTGGTACCAGGTGGATAACCTAAAAACAAGAGAGAGATGATGAAAAGGGTCATATACAACGCAAGTACCTGAAGAGTGTCTCACTCAGAAAAAATAACTGTAAGATATGTTCCAAATACCACAAATACCAAATCAATATTTCGTTCCGGAATATCAGTCACGATCTAATCTGCATGATATTCGCCACACTGTTATCATAGTATAAAACTTGCTAGACATATTTTTATGCGATGAATAAATAAGTGAATAAATACTGAATGCGAATTAAATTATGAGCTCCAACTTACCATATTGTTGAGTAGGATATTGCTGAGTGCCATCTGCATAGTAGGCTTGTTGTAACATAGCTGGGGGCTGGTTTGAGACATTCATCTGTTGAGGTGATGCATAGGGGATCTGTGGCGGAGGTTGTGGTACTGCAACAGGCTGGCCTGGATAGTAGCTTGCCGGCTGCTGCTGTTGGTGCATGCGCCGCATTTGCATCTCTTGTTCTTGTTGTTGAAATCGCAATAAAGCCATATGTCGCTGATGCAATAACAATTCCTCAAAAAAAAAACGAAATTCAAAATTGAACACACAAATCCGTTGAAAGCGTAGTAAATCTAGTGAAGCTAAATGCATTGAAATTCCCCAGCAGTATATTTGGAACCACTTAAAATCACTAGTTCTAATAATCTACCATTCTGATTCATAAATTCTCGTTCTCAGCTATCTGAATTTCGTTCGATTCCAGCTGATTCAACCCCAATTCCGAGCCAAGTACCAAGTATTCGCGCTTAACACATTCTTCAAAAACTCTTCCATTAGGATATCACCATGAGTGTTTCGTGCTTCAGCAACGATGAGGCGGAACACAAAACTGAATCGTTTCGTCATAAAACAACAACGAACATGCTTCTTTTGACGCATCAGATCCACTTTCTGCTGCATTTGCTGCTGCCTTAAGCGTTGCTCCTCTAACGCACGCTCTTGTTTCCGTCTTTCGTAGTCTTCACGGAGTGCGTTCACAGCCTGACGTGCCTCTTGTATGTGCGCCAAATGATCTTGCAGTGATTCGAAATAATCTGATGAAAAGGCGTTATAAGTTACACAGTAATACAGCATCATGTGTTAAATGGCACTATCAACAAAATACTTTCTTACAACTATACGATTCATCTCTCTTTATTAACCATTAGCGAGTGAACAAACTAAGCGACTTTATGAGTGCATGTACTCACTTCGTTGGTCCTCAAGTTTAGTCATTCTAGCCATAACTTGAGCGTGCATTTCAGTTAGACGAATGAATAACGACTGAATCGCAGTGTCATTCACAATCGATCGGTTACGTGCAATATTCGAGCGAATTCTATTATCCATTACTGTCACCTGAAATAAGGAACACCGAAATTTGCGGTCATGTTTCAAAAATATGACAAAATCTCTTAAATCACTCATTTTCGATTACGCTCGAAATCACACATTCATCAAAAGAGAACGATGAAGTTACCAAAATCAACAGCAGTCATTGATAGAAATTTGAACGCAAAGAAAGATAACAACAACATATTTGTTCATGACAATAATAAGACTGATAGTTACAGCAATCACCATAA